GCAGGAGATGTTTTTACTAAAATATTTCCTTCCAACTAGTCTTAAAATAAAACAAGACGTGACTGAGGCATACGGGGTGCAACGAAGGACCCTTTCTTGAGGTTCTTTGTGAAATTTTCAGGAGCCAGGATGAATATTCATTTGAAAGAAAAGAGGGTTCTAATTGGGTCTTTGTCGTTAGTTGCTGCCCAGTCAGGGATGACTCAGAAAACTCGACTGGGTAACCTCACACACAGCAGGACTGGAGCAATGTGGTCCGTTAGGGTTCTCCCTGGCTGCCATTTGGAAGTAGGTCTCCAGGTCTTTCTTCCTCTTCTGTCTTCGTCTGGAAGCTGCACTGGGACCTGCACTATCACAGCACGACGCAGGCCCCATTGACCGGTGGGCAGTATCCAGCTGCAAACGAGGTGCATTGGTGGGGAATCGAACCCAGATCTCCCGCATCCTCGCAATGACTCTCTGCTTAAGCCCAGGTTTGCGTCCCTGAGTCAGCGCAGATTGTTGAGGGTCTTCTTCTTTTTGTCTGAGCCTCCCACTGCTTTTCCAAACATGCTGTCTTTCTCCAGACACGGATCCCTCCAGAGAACACTCCCAGAGCACATGAAGCTAAGTCTAGCCACAATCCCCATCACAACTGTGTGGTCTCCCTGCTCCAGCCACACCCCTCTTTCTACCCCTGCTGTCTTCTCACATTTGCTTGGGTACCAGTAAAACCACGTTTTATCTATCATAAGCAAGTTGCTGTCAAGTCAGTTCTTACTCATGGTGAGCCCCAGGGGCCAGGGGAGAACTGTGTTCCACAGGCGTTTCAGGGGAGGAGTTTGGAAACCTACGTTGACAGGCCTTTCTTCCTAGGTGCCTCTGCATAACCACCAATCTCTCACCACTCAGTTGGCGACCAGAAACTGATTGCACCATCATTCACAGCCTGTAAAACCAGGGCCTAAAGGAAAGCAGTTCTGTGCAGTTGTTTGTTTTTATCTGGAGAAGATTATCACTTTGCTTCCTTCCCCTCTGGCTGTTTCCATGGTTTCTGCACGCCATTCTGCAGTGGTCAGCTCTCCTGTCCTCACCAGCAGTTGGGGTATCATCCACCATGCTGCCTTGGGTGTCCCTGAACCCCCTCAGGATGTCTGCTAGCAACCCTCACTAACCTGAATAAATCCCTGGAATTGAGGTGATGAGGTAGAGTCTAGAAAACTGACATTGAGTACGCTTTTTTATTATGGTTGCCTAGGTTAAGGACTGCTAGGAGAACGAACAGGTTCCTCCTGGAGAAGGTGAAACAGGGCTGCTCCTTGGAGGCAAGGATTCTGAGGCTTCATCTGACATAGTTTGGACATGTTATAAGGAGGGACCAGTCCTTGGAGAGGGACATCATGCTTGGGAGGGTGGGGGGACAGCGCAGGAGAGGAAGACCCTCGATGAGATGGATTGACTCAGTGACTGGGGTAATGTGTGTAGGTGTGTCAGAGACAATGAGGTTGGCACAGGACAGAGCAGGGTTCAAGGCTCTTGTACACAGGTTGTAATGAATTGCAAGCAACTTGATGACACATAGCAGCAACAACAACAGGTGGTAAGGAGCTACACTGCCAACCCGAAGGCAAGGGGTTCAAATCTACTAGCTGCTTCATGACAGAAAGATGGGCAGCCTCTTCTTGCGTGATTTACTGCCTCTGAAAACCTCCCCGAGGATCGGTTATGGGTGGGTTCCAACTCGAACGTACTCAACAACAATAACATTTTATTGTGCCTTCTGGTGAAAGTTTACATCACAAGTCAATTCTCCATCCAAGGATCTGCACATGAGTGTATTCGCCTGACACTGGCTGGGGTCTCCGCAAGCGTCTCCTCTCCTTCCCCTGTCTCCCTGGTCTCAATGTGTCCAGCCATCTGCTTTCTCTATCAATCCGAGTCTTCTTGTCCTCGGTTTGGGGCAGAAGTTGCCTATTTGGTCTCCTGTGGGTGATTGTTTTAAAGAGCACATTGTCGACAAGTGGCATCAATTGTTATAAGGAGCCTTGGAGGTGCAGAGTACAAGGTGTGTGAGAGCTAACTGAAAGGTCAGTGGATCAAATCACAGTGCCGCTCTGCAGGAGAACGACGGGCAGTCTCTTCTTGAAAAGAGTTATGACTGCAGACACAGGGCGGAGTGTCCCCACGAGGGGAAATGTCCTCGCTGCAGTGGGATTTTGATTTTCTGTGTGTTGTAGGCCTCTCTCATTTAGGGGTGAAGTTAACCTGCAGGAACTTCTTCAGCTTCAAAAAGGAATATAACGGTCATAGGGGTTCCCTCCCTTCAGACCAGCAAGTCTTGTTGTTGTTGTTGTTAGATGCCACTGAGTCAAGTACAACCCATAGCAACCTTGGGAACAACAGATCTGAACCCTGTCCTATCCTGTGCCATCCTCACACTTCCTGACACGCTGGAGTCCATTGCCGCAGTCACCATGTCAATCCACCTGGCTGGGAGTCTTCCTCTCTTTCACCGTCGTCACTTCACCTTTGTAAGCACGATATCCCTCTCCAAGGAATTGCTCCTGGCAACACGCCCAAAGTGTGTTGAAATGAAGCTTCGTCGTCGTCTTTGCTTCCAAAGAGCACTCTGGCTGCACTTTCTCCAGGTTATGTTTATTTGTTCTTTTGGCAAACGATGGGGTATTCAGTGTTCTTCTCCAACACCATAGCTCAAAGGCATCAATTCTACTCTCATCCTTGTTCATTGTCAAACTCTCAGATGCATAGCAAGTGATTGGAAGGACCATGGCCTGAATCAGACACACCTTAGTCTGACCTGGATGTAGGGACAACAGACAAATCAACCAAGCCGTCCAGTGGCTGATTCCCTCCGGATAGCAAGGCTGGTGGGTTTTTTGTTTGTTGGAATTTTGTTCTACATTGTCACCCTTTGTAAGTGGGACCTTCTCTTGGATTCTGGTTCCAGTGGTCAGTGGGCGGAGCTGGACACCATCTGGTTCTCCTGGCCTCTGGATAGAGGAGACTGTGGTTCAGTGAGCACCTGGCCTGTGGACTCACGGCTGCTTTGAATTTTCCGTTTTCTTCTCGCCCCCTTGCTCTGAGGGTGGGGGTGGGGGTGATGGGGATGAGACTACTTATTGCTTATCTGATGGCTTCTCTTAAGCTTTCAAGACCTCAGATAATATTTTCTAGATTAAGATAGAGAATATTATGAAATGTGTTTTGCCAGTTGTCCTGGAGGTTCCCTGAGACTATAATCCGTAATGTCCAAGCGGTTTGCATACCTGTGCCCTCTCTGTGCTCTGCCATATAGGTAAGCATACATACAGCACTAAGAAACGTCTATCCTAAAATATTACTTCCACACCTGTGCCTGTCGGTGGGCGCACTCCCCTGTGCCTCCCTCACCTATTTATGTTTGTCCACAAATTATTGTTTATTGCTCTTGTTGGAGGATTCTGATTTACAGCATTTACTGTCCTATGGAGGGTAGAGGGACAGCACAAGAGAGGAAGACCCTCAATGAGATGGGTTGATTCCATCACTGGGGTAATGAGGATAGGTGGGTCAGAGACAATAAGGCTGGCAAGAGATAGAGCAGGGGTTAGGGCTGTTGTACATAGGGTCGCTATTGAGTCACAAGCACTCGGAGGGCACATAACCACCACCACTACCACCACAATTCCTGACATCGGCCAGCGTCTTCCTTTCCTTGGTGGGCTGAGTGGTGCTGACTCCCCACCAGCACTAACACCTGGATGTCCTCTGGTTCCCTAGTTAGTGATTCACCTGCACACCCCTCCCAGCTCTGGGAACCAGCACAGAGCGCTTCTGTGGGTAAGTCTGCTCTTGACCGCTTTAGAACAGTGGTCTCGTGCAGCAGGTGGCCCGCTGAGGTCCATTTCTTATTTCACCCAGCTTAAAGGCCTCTGGTCTGACATTGTGAGGTGTTCCTGGACTCATCGTTATTCTGTCTGCAGGCAGCATCCCTCTCCCTATATGTACCAGTTTGATTCTCACGGACACAGGTTGCTTCCATCTTGTTATTGTGCTAATGGGAATTTATCACTCAGGGCGCCGTCACACAGGCACACTGGGGAGGGCCGAGGAGGCCATGCGTATTTCTGGGGCTCAGTTCCCCAGCAGAGATTCTCAATTCTCAAAATGGTGTGGGGGAGGGCAAGGGCCCTGGGACCAGATGAGGCCGCCTAGGGGGCTGCCTGGGCAGGTGAGTTACCTGGGGGCAGGCGGATGGACTTAGCCCTATGGGGAGGGGGCAACAATACAGACGCGGGCTTCCCCACCCCCAGGAACAGCTAGGTCTCAGCGGGGTCACGGGGCTCCTGTCCAGGCCTCAGGGAGGTCCTCGGGAGCGCGGAAGCGCCTGGGCTGGGGGCCGCCTGGGTGCAGCTGAGGGTCCTTCCTCGTGGCCTGGCCCACCGCCCACCAGCCCTGCGCCCCGACCCTCGCCAGGAAGGGGGTGCGGCTCTCGCGCGCCAGGGGGACGTGCGCCCGGGCGCGGCTCATTTGAACACAGAGAAGCGCGCGAAGCGGCGGCGGCGCGCCCAGGGCCGGGGCGGGGCCGTTGGCACAGGACAGAGCAGAGTTTAGGGCTGTTGT